AGTCACTAGGACTAGAACCAGGGATCATTTCGTAGAAAAAGAGGAGCAGGAGCTCATTAGCATAACTCATTTGCATATGACACACCCCCTGACATCACCGGAAGTGTGTCAGGAGGCAACACCCACCGCTCAGGCTCCACTGGACTATTTTGGATTGCTAGCTATTGGGGGGGAAACGCGCAGATCTGTCCTCGCAGAGGAGGGAGAGCTTGTACCTGAATAAGACTTGGTCTTAAAGGTGCCACTGGACTGTTTTGGATTGCTAGCTGTGGGGGGGCTCTGTAACTTACCTGGCTGCAGGGGGTGGGGGGTGGGGCTTGTTGCATGTGCCCGCCCCCCTGGGCTCTTTACTGCCGGAGCTCTGCTCCTGTGCGCTCCTGCAGGAAATGACCCCTGGCTCCAGTGAAACAGGTCTCCTCCCCTCCTCCAACTTAGGGTTGCCAACCTCCAGGCGGTGGCTGGGGATCTCCTGGGATTACAACTGTTCTCCAGGCAACAAAGATCAGTTCTCCTGGAGAAAATGGCCACTTTGGAAGGTGCCCCCGAAAAAGCCGCCGGAGAGTCTTCCTTTTCTCCAGGCCCCGCCAGGAGGTTGGCAACCCTGTAATTGAGGGCGCAGGGGGACGCCAGAAGGCAGCCTCGTCTAGTGTCCAAAAAGACCTGGAGCCGGCCCTGTACCTGCCCACAGATTTTGTTAGTCGTTAAGGTGCTTCTGGACTCCTGCTCTTTTCTACTGGAATAAATAAGTTAGCCCAGCCTGTGGTGAGCGGTGAGAAATAATCAAGCAAGCTGTCATTTTAAAAGTGAGAGTTTGAGAATTTCTGAGCTAATGTGATGTTTTGGGGATGGAGAACAGATGCATTCCCGAGCCTCCTTTCTTTTCTTTGCATATGAAACAACAAACGTCCCACTCATTTGTAATGTCACCCCATAATTCCCGTGGCAATGGTAAGGCCAGAGTTCTTGTTTTATTTGCATTTAGGTGCTCTTCTTTTTGTTGTTAAACCTCTCAGGCTAACATTGGACAAGATGAGGACTTCGAAGAAGCAAGCAAGAAAGCCCTCTCCCTTGGAGCCAAAAAGGTAACAGTCACGCAGATGAGGGTTGCCAGCCTCCAGGTGGGGCCTGGGGATCTCCTGCTTTTATAACTCATCTCCAGCTGACAGAGATCAGCTCCCCTGGATAAAATGGCTGCTGTGAAGGGTGGACTCTAGGGCCTTGTACCATGCTGAGGCCCTTCCCCAAACCCCGCGCTCTCCTGGATCCACCCCCAGAGTCTCCAGATATTTTCCGACCCAGACCTGGCAACCCTAATGCAGATGGTTGCCTGTAGGGCAGGGGTCATTTCCTGCAGGAGTGCACAGGAGCGGAACTCCGGCAGTAAGGAGCCCAGGGGGCGGGCACATGCAACAAGCCCCGCCCCCTGCTCCCAGCAGCCCTCAGTCAGGCCATGAGGAGCAAGAAGCAGCCAGGTAAGTTGCAGAGCCCTCCCCCCGGCCCACCTTCAGGTACAAGCTCTCCCTCCTCTGTGAGGGCAGATCTGCGCGTTCCCCCCCCCCCAATAGCTAGCAATCCAAAACAGTCCAGTGGAGCCTGAGTGGTGGGGGTTGCCTTCTGACACACTTCCCGTGATGTCAGGGGGTGTGGCATATGCAAATAAGTTGTGTTAATAAGTTATGCTAATGAGCTCCTGCCCCTCTTTTTCTATGAAATGACCCCTGCTGTAGGGTGTCATATCCTGGAAATTGCTAAATGTGGTCCCCTGTGCACATGAGTCTGTCCACACTCTTCTCCAGAATGAGCTGAGTGAAAGAGGCCCAGACAGAAACCTAAGAGGGAGGAGGAGAAGGTAACAATCTGCACCAGATCCCCTCCCTCTTCTCAGACCTATTTGCAGACCTAGCAACCAGCATGGCTCACACAAAGGAGGCAAGACTGCCATGCACCTGAGAGCAAGGAGTGGCTTCAAGCAATAACAGGCAAACCTGCTCCATTCCTACCACCCGGCTACTTCTTCACTAGTTTATTATTTAATGTCCGCTCCAAGCAAGTGTACAATGAGTTACAGAATGTTTCTGGGGAGGCACTTTAGTCTCTTGCTGTAAAAACAAGAGGGAACTTGTCTGTTATTCCGGTTACCTTTTGACTTCCTACTTTAGCATTCCAGCCCCCTATGATGAGGAGGACATCATTTTTTGGTGTTAGTTCTATGAGGTGTTGTAGGTCTTCATAGAACAGGTCCACTTCAACCTCTTCCGCATCAGTGGTTGGGGCATAGACGTGGATTACTGTGATGCGGAAGTACCTGCCTGCTAAGGGCCACGGGATTCAAACGTCGTTCTCACGTCTGTTCATTAACTCTTGTATTTTCAGCCAACCCAGCTGTTCGAAAGCCCTATATGGCGAGTAGATAAATGGGTACCTGGCCTTAGTCGGTCAGGGGGGTACCCTCCCTTAGAAGAAGCGGAAGAACTGTGGCTCCAGAGAGAAAATAGCGGCACCGGTAACAA